GGGGGGGGCTGCATGTCTGTTGTGAGTGAGGGGCTGAGCGGCTGAATGATTTGTCGGTGACCCAATGCCATGACCAACGCTGCCACAGTTTGACACCAACGGGGACGGCTGCATCAGCTTGGGTGAGCTCCGGGCGGCCCTCAAGGTCCTGCTGGGCGAGCGCCTCACCCAGCGGGAGGTAGACGAGATCCTTCACGACATCGATCTCAACGGGGACGGCCTGATCGACTTTGAAGGTACCGCCTGCACCACACACCCTGGAGTCTTCTTCACAGATACAGAGCCGTGAAGGCAGCGTCCCCACTGGGTGCCAGGCCCTGCTAGGCTGCCCGAGTCCTCTCCCAGGAAATCAGCACGGGAACCCGGGAGGAAGGAGCTACTAGCATCCCCGTGAGCAGAAGAAAGTCAGTTCTTAGGAAAGTGTAGGTGCTCAGCAAAAGGAGGTCGATGGAACCAAGGTTTTTTAAAAAATATGATTTTATTGATTTTAGAGAGAAGGGGAGAGGGAGAGAGAGAGAAATATTGATGAGAGAGAAACATTGATCCCCTGCCTCCCACACGCTCCCTACTGGGGATCAAGCCCACAACCCGGGCATTTGCCCCGACCTGCAATCCAACCAGGGACCCCTTGGTTCATGGGTCGATGCTCAACCACTGAGCCACCCTGGCTGGGAGATGGAGCCAAGATTTGAATGCAGGCAGCCTGATCCAGAACCCAGTTCTTCCTCTACACTGTGTTCCCACAGAGGAAAAATAAAGATTAAATAATCATAGGGAGCCAAGGAAAATCAGTAAGTAGAAATTCTCCAAAGTGGGCCCCCAAATTGTTCCTGAGCTTCCTGGTGGCAAAAGCAAAGAGGAAAATCGTTCAGTTACAGGATGTTTTCTGCCCACAAGACAAAGCCCCTCTTCTTAGCCTAGAGACCTGTTACCTATCAGATCCAGGAGACTCCCCTGCAGGCCCTGCCCTTGACCACACTCCCTCACACCTCAAGGCCAGTATATTGGCCTCACCCCCAGTGGGGTCCAGAGAGCAGACCCAAAACCTTGGCTCTGTCCTGGCAGAGTTTGTGCGAATGATGTCTCGCTGAGCCTGCACAGAAGCTGGAGGCAGCAGGGAGGACTTGAGAGCACAGCCACCGCCTGAGAGCGTGTCCCTGGAAGCCCACTGCCTCCAGCTGGACCTCTGCCTCTCTTCCCCACGTCCCCCACCTGTGCACAATGCCCTTGTCTGCCCTCACCCCGCCCCCACTCCTCCACAAGCCCCTCGCCCATCTCTGTTTCTCTGACAATAAAGTACCTTCAGACCTGGGGAGATGGCTTTCACCTCTCACTTCCTTACCCTGGAGGACCCAGTATTTGGCCCCCAAAAGTTAAGTCCTGGACGACAAACCCCCTCGATTGTGAGCCCTGGGCTAGCAGGGGCCCTCTCTGGATCACGGGCCCAGCCCACAGCAAGTGCCAAGAAAGGTCCCTGGCAGAGTGAACCACCCTGCTTCTCCCAGAGCCGGGTGTGCGCGGCCCCTCGTCCCATGAATGGCCCCGGCCGGGTCCCAGGTTACTCTAGAGGGTGGAGCAAGTGCGTGAGGGCTTTTCCCAAGGTCCATCCCATTCACTCCTGCAGGGGTGCTGCTCAGAGCCTTCAAGAAAGAACCTGATTTCTTCCCAGCTTTAATCCCGGCTGTCGGGCTCTGGCTGATGGTCCCTTCAGAATACAGCTCAGCTGGTGGGCTGCTGTCTGGCTCTTCCGGAGCCGCCAGCCACTGGCCCGGCGTGGGGGGCGGCTAGGACGTGCCCATTTCTGCCTGACTCCAGGCTCCTCTCCTGGGCGGTCTCTGCCTCAGGCTCCCCTCACATCCGGGAGGCATGGCCGGGCTGGTCCAGAATCCGAGGCCCTCCTGCCCACCCCGGCCTTCCTCTGCCTTGCGTTCATACGTTCATCCCTAACGTCATCTCACCGCCTGCTTCCTGGGGGACCCGAAGGACACGTCTGCTCACGGGACCCCTGGCCTGGTCTTCATGCCCCATTTTCCAGATTGAGGAAACCAAGAGGCCCAGCCTAGGTGACTTGCTAGAGGTCACACAGCCCCACTGCTATGTCTCCCTTCCCGGCCATGTAGCACACGCTGCTGGATTATTCTTCCTAAAATATCACTTGTGTTTTGTGACACTCCTGTTCAGGAACTGGCCATGGTCCCCTATGGTCCTCAGATTAACCAGCCACTTTCCCGGGCCCCAGAAGTCTGTGGGAGGACAGGGACAAGCATAAAGTCACATACGATTAAGGTGACATGGAGGTGGGGCTTGCGCTCAGGCCTGGGGGCTCTAGAATCACAGGGTCGGAGTGGACACAGGACGGGCCTCAGCCTTTTCCGGCTACAGCAAAGGCCTGGTCTGCAGAGCACGGCCTGACTGAGACGGAAGGCAGGCCCTGACCTCCTGGTCGGGAACGGGTGGGAGCTTTCACCCGAGCCTGGTCCTCCTCAGCGCTGCTGCCGACAGGATGGCCCGGGGACAGAGCAGGTGGACCGCCACCGGTGCCCTGCCCGGCCCGGAGCCTGGGCCTGAGGTGCCAGGGCTGGCTGCTGCAGCTCCAGCACCACTCTCCTGGGCGATCCCAATTAATGCCTAGTCCTCAATTAGGCCATCTCTCCCACCAGCCAGTCTGCAGAGCCTGGGGGGGAGGCGGCGCTGCCCCAGGCCGGCAGCTTCACCACAAGCCATGGCCAACCTCCTCCCACCACCCTCCACCAGCTGGCGCAGATGGCGCTGCTGCCCAAGATGTCTGTCCTCTTTGCAGGCGTTGGAGGGTATGTGCCAGGGGAGGGCCAGAGCCCCGCCCAGGGTTTACCTCCCACCACCCTCTGGCCCCCAGCCTGGGAGGCTTCTGGCTGGGGGGTTTGGGGGGTTGAGGGAGTTGCTAGGATGGACTTAATTATCTGCAGCGTGTCTGCTGGCACCAGAAGTGCCCACAGCCCCACCAGGTCTCACGCATGCCCTCTCAGCCCAGAAGGTCTTAACAGATAACAGCTGGAGCAGGAACCAGGCCAGGAAGGACGAGCAGGTAGGTAGAGGCTTGCTGAGCCGAGAGCCCCTTCCCCATCGAGAGGGGCACCTGCTAGTCAGAGCTGCTGGTCCAGAGCTACGAGACTCTCTGATTTTCCAGGAAAAGCTGTACATTCAGATTTTTACTCTAAGTCTATTTTAAATAGTGTGAGTATAACACATTCAGTAAGGCATATAAATCTGAGTACAGCTCAGTGAATTTTTGCCTGTGTGCACGGGGGTAACCATCACCCAGATCAAGATGTTACATCCACTTATTTTAGAACAGTGCTAGGTTTACTGAATTATATCCAGCATAGTACAGTGAGTTCCCATACACCCCACACCCAGCTTCTCCTGTTAGGCCACGTTCTCCAGAGAAACAGAACCAATAGGGGATGTGTATGTATACATAAAGATATTTATTGTAATTGGCTCAGGTGATTATGGGGCTGAGCAGTCCCAAGACCTGCAGACAGCAAGCTGGAGGCCCAGGAGAGCCGTGGCGTAGTTCCAGTCCAAGCCCTAAGGCCTGAGAACCAGGAAAGGCGATGGTGGAAGTTCCAGTCTGAGGTCAGAGAACACTGATGTTCCAGCTCAGCAGGCAGGCAGGCAGGCAAAGTTCCCTCTTAACTCAGCCTTTTTGTTCTATTTAGGTCTTCGACTGATTGGATGAGGCCCACTCCATTGGGAAGGGCAATCTGCTTTACTTATTTGACAGATATTAATCTCATTCAGAAACAGCCTCCCTCTCCCC